TACCTGCACTGTTTGCCGTCCGTTCGAGAGAAGGCAGCAGCAGAGCGTCGCTTAATGCAACAAATCTAATTAGGCACTTGCAGAAACATCATAAGGAGGAATGCAGACGAAGAATGCAGCGAAGCCTGCTGTATGTGTACGTATATTTAAATATTTATTAAAAGATCAGATCGGGACTCAGAATTGGCAGATATAAATATTGAATGGGTGGGATCGGGATACCGAAAAAGTGGATCAGGACATTCCTATAGGGCACATACATGCACACATGAGCCATTGAAACGGGAGTACCTGGGGGAAATTCATATGACATGGGGGGGGGGGACATGCAAATTCCGCACACGCAGGGGGGAGGCAGGACTTGAACCCCGAGGCGTGAGCCAAGAGTGCCACCCGCTGAGGCAGCGTGACACCCCACTATGTTTTAGGTTCGCCCAAAGTTCATGTTTAAAAGGAAATCAGATAAGGGCTTGGGATCACCGTGGAGGAGTTAAACTGGGTATTATTGGGAGCGCGTGGAGGTGGCTGAGATTTCCTCACTACGAAATCTTTGACGCCGGCAGTAAATTATTAACTGCGTGTTACGTCTGAAGAATCTCAGGGAGACATTGTTTCCCCATCAGGCTGCTCTAGCACTGCCTTTTCGTGATGTCCCCGGGCAGGTGTGAGATTGGTCACACGGGACGGAATGAGCCCCCCTCGTCCCGTGTGGGGGACGGCGATAACGGGCCGGAGCAGGCCAACGCATGATTTTAAGAGGGGTTCTGCATTTTTCATAGCACTGGTACGAATGGGCCGCTTTCAGGGCCCGCTCGAGCTGACTGATCAGGGGGAGAGAGGGCGCTGAAATATTCATCGTGCATCACAAAGCTGTTAAGTGAGATATGTGGGATTAAAACCCATCAGGAGTGATGCTGGTGCAGATAGAGCCCAAAATAAACTTTTTCATCAAGCCTGATAAATATGAAATATTGCCCATTACATGTTGAAGTAGTGTATTGATTAATGAAAT